AAATAGCTGAAAACTCATATTTAAGGAGTTATGGCCATTTTTTAAGTTTTCAATAATTCATGCTTTAAAAAATTGATCACAAATAATAGCTAAAATCGCTGAAAACACTCAATATTTAAGGAGTTATGGTCATTTTAAAGTTTTCAATAATTCATGCCTTAAAAAGTGATCACAAATAATAGCTAAAATTTAAAGTTTTCAATAATTCATGCCTTAAAAGTGATCACAAATAATAGCTAAAATCGCTTGAAAACTCAATATTTATGGAGTTATGGCCATTTAAAGTCTTCAATTAATTCATGCTTTAAAAAGTGATCACAAATAATAGCTAAAATCGCTGAAAACTCAATATTTAAGGAGTTATGGTCATTTTAAAGTTTTCAATAATTCATGCCTTAAAAGTGATCACAAATAATAGCTAAAATCGCTTGAAAACTCAATATTTAAGGAGTTATGGCCATTTTAAAGTTTTCAATAATTCATTGCCTTAAAAAGTGATCACAAATAATAGCTAAAATCGCTGAAAACTCAATATTTAAGGAGTTATGGCCGTTTTTAAGTTTTCAATTATTCATGCCTTAAAAGTGATCACGAATAATAGCTAAATCGCCGAAAACTCAATATTTAAGGAGTTATGGCCGTTTTAAGTTTTCAATAATTCATGCTTTAAAAAGTGATCACAAATAATAGCTAAAATCGGTTGAAAACTCAATATTTAAGGAGTTATGGCCATTTTTAAACTTTTCAATATTCATGCCTTAAAAGTGCTCACAAATAATAGCTAAATCGCGAAACTCAATATTTTAGGAGTTATGGCCATTTTAAAGTTTTCAATAATTCATGCCTTAAAAAGTGATCACAAATACTAGCTAAAATCGCTTGAAAACTCAATATTTAAGGAGTTATGGCCATTTTAAAGTTTTCAATAATTCATGCCTTAAAAAGTGATCACAAATAATAGCTAAAATCGCTGAAAACTCAATATTTAAGGAGTTATGGCCGGTTTAAGTTTTCAATTATTCATGCCTTAAAAAGTGATCACAAATAATAGCTAAAATCGCTTGAAAACTCAATATTTAAGGAGTTATGGCCATTTAAAGTTTTCAATAATTCATGCATTAAAAGGTGATCACAAATAATAGCTAAAATCGCTGAAAACTCAATATTTAGGGAGTTATGGCCCTTTTTAAGTTTTCAATATTTCATGCCTTAATAATAGCTAAAATCGGCTGAAAACTCAATATTTAAGGAGTTATGTCCGTTTTTAAGTTTTCAATTATTCATGCCTTAAAAAGTGATCACAAATAATAGCTAAAACGCTGAAAACTCAATATTTAAGGAGTTTATGGCCAATTTTAAAGTTTTCAATAATTCATGCTTTAAAAGTGATCACAAATAATAGCTAAAATCGCTGAAAACGCAATTTTATGGCTATGGCTATTTTAAAATTTTCAATAATTCATGCCTTAAAAAGTGATCACAAATAATAGCTAAAATCGCTGAAAACTCAATATTTAAGGAGTTATGGCCATTTTAAAGTTTTCAATAATTCATGCCTTAAAAGTGATCACAATAATAGCTAAAATCGCTTGAAACTCAATATTTAAGGAGTTATGGCTGAAAACTCAATATTTAAGGCAGTTATGGCCATTTTAAAGTTTTCAATAATTCATGCTTTAAAAAGTGATCACAAATAATAGCTAAAATCACTGAAAACTCAATATTTAAGGAGTTATGTCCGTTTTTTAAGTTTTCAATATTCATGCCTTAAAAGTGATCACAAATAATAGCTAAAATCGCTGAAACGCAATTTTATGGCTATGGCTATTTTAAAATTTTCAATAATTCATGCCTTAAAAAGTGATCACAAATAATAGCTAAAATCGCTGAAAACTCAATATTTAAGGAGTTATGGCCATTTTAAAGTTTTCAATAATTCATGCTTTAAAAAGTGATCACAAATAATAGCTAAAATCGCTGAAAACTCAATATTTAAGGAGTTATGGCCATTTTAAAAGTTTTCAATAATTCATGCCTTAAAAAAGTGATCACAAATAATAGCTAAAATCGCTGAAAACTCAATATTTAAGGAGTTATGGTCATTTTAAAGTTTTCAATAATTCATGCTTTAAAAGTGATCACAAATAATAGCTAAAATCGCTGAAAACTCAATATTTATGGAGTTATGGCCATTTTAAAGTCTTCATAATTCATGCTTTAAAAAGTGATCACAAATAATAGCTAAAATCGCTTGAAAACTCAATATTTAAGGAGTTATGGTCATTTAAAGTTTTCAATATTCATGCCTTAAAAGTGATCACAAATAATAGCTAAAATCGCTGAAAACTCAATATTTAAGGAGTTATGGCCATTTTAAAGTTTTCAATAATTCATGCTTTAAAAGTGATCACAATAATAGCTAAAATCGCTGAAAAACGCAATTTTTATGGCTATGGCTATTTTAAAATTTTCAATAATTCATGCCTTAAAAGTGATCACAAATAATAGCTAAAATCGCTGAAACTCAATATTTAAGGAGTTATGGCCATTTTAAAGTTTTCAATAATTCATGCCTTAAAAAGTGATCACAAATAATAGCTAAAATCGCTGAAAACTCAATATTTAAGGAGTTATGGCCATTTTAAAGTTTTCAATAATTCATGCCTTAAAAAAGTGATCACAAATAATAGCTAAAATCGCTGAAAACTCAATATTATGGAGTTATGGTCATTTTAAAGTCTTCAATAATTCATGCTTTAAAAAGTGATCACAAATAATAGCTAAAATCGCTGAAAACTCAATATTTATGGAGTTATGGCCATTTTAAAGTCTTCAATAATTCATGCTTTAAAAAGTGATCACAAATAATAGCTAAAATCGCTGAAAACGCAATATTTAAGGAGTTATGGTCATTTTAAAGTTTTCAATAATTCATGCTTTAAAAAGTGATCACAAATAATAGCTAAAATCGCTGAAAACTCAATATTTAAGGAGTTATGGCCGTTTTTAAGTTTCAATTATTCATGCCTTAAAAAGTGATCACGAATAATAGCTAAAATCGCTGAAAACTCAATATTTAAGGAGTTATGGCCATTTTAAAGTTTTCAATAATTCATGCCTTAAAAAGTGATCACAAATAATAGCTAAAATCGCTGAAAACTCATATTTAAGGAGTTATGGTCATTTTAAAGTTTTCAATAATTCATGCCTTAAAAAGTGATCACAAATAATAACTAAATAGCTGAAAACTCAATATTTAAGGAGTTATGGCCATTTTTTAAGTTTTCAATAATTCATGCTTTAAAAAGTGATCACAAATAATAGCTAAAATCGCTGAAAACTCAATATTTAAGGAGTTATGGTCATTTTAAAGTTTTCAATAAATTCATGCCTTAAAAAGTGATCACAAATAATAGCTAAAATCGCTGAAAACTCAATATTTATGGAGTTATGGCCGTTTTTTAAGTTTTCAATAGTTTCATGCTTTAAAAAGTGATCACAAATAATAGCTAAATCGCTGAAACTCAATATTTAAGGAGTTATGGCCGTTTTTAAGTTTTCAATAATTCATGCTTTAAAAAGTGATCACAAATAATAGCTAAAATCGCTGAAAACTCAATATTTAAGGAGTTATGGCCATTTTAAAGTTTTCAATAATTCATGCTTTAAAAAGTGATCACAAATAATAGCTAAAATCGCTGAAAACTCAATATTTATGAGTTATGGCCGTTTTTAAGTTTTCAATAATTCATGCTTTAAAAGTGATCACAAATAATAGCTAAAATCGCTGAAAACTCAATATTTAAGGAGTTATGGCCATTTAAAGTTTTCAATAATTCATGCCTTAAAAAGTGATCACAAATAATAGCTAAAATCGCTGAAAACTCAATATTTAAGGAGTTATGGCCATTTTAAAGTTTTCAATAATTCATGCTTCAAAAGTGATCACAAATAATAGCTAAAATCGCTGAAAACTCAATATTAAGGAGTTATGGCCATTTTAAAATTTTCAATATTCATGCTTTAAAAAGTGATCACAAATAATAGCTAAAATCGCTGAAAACTCAATATTAAGAAGTTATGGCCGTTTTTAAGTTTTCAATAATTCATGCCTTAAAAAGTGATCACAAATAAAAGTTAAAATCGCTGAAAACTCAATATTTAAGGAGTTATGGCCGTTTTAAGTTTTCAATAATTCATGCTTTAAAAAGTGATCACAAATAATAGCTAAAATCGCTGAAAACTCAATATTTAAGGAGTTATGGCCATTTAAGTTTTCGATAATTCATGCCTTAAAAAGTGATCACAAATAAAGTTAAAATCGCTGAAAACTCAATATTTAAGGAGTTATGGCCGTTTTTAAGTTTTCAATAATTCATGCTTTAAAAAGTGATCACAAATAATAGCTAAAATCACTGAAAACTCAATATTTAAGGAGTTATGGCCATTTTAAAGTTTTCCATAATTCATGCTTTAAAAGTGATCACAAATAATAGCTAAAATCGCTGAAAACTCAATATTAAAGGAGTTATGGCCATTTTAAAGTTTTCAATAATTCATGCCTTTAAAAAGTGATCACAAATAATAGCTAAAATCGCTGAAAACTCAATATTTAAGGAGTTATGGCCATTTTAAAACATCTAATAATTTATGCTTCAAAAGGTGACACAGTTAATAGCTAATTTTGCTGAGAAGTCCGATTAAAACGATTTGCTGATACAAATAACCGTAGTTATTGAAAGCCCGTTTTGCCTGTGGAGACCATTATCGTGGCGCTAGAGGCTGCTCATAATAACACTTGAATGCAAGGTGAGTACTTGATCGAATTTGTATTCAACAATGCAGCTGTATCTTAATCCCGCAATAAACGCACACAAATCTAATTTATATGGCATTGAGGTAGATACCTCGTGTTGTGCCTGTGTCTACCATATGACCACACATAAATGTAGTGTAAATTGTGTGGATATGCAGATTTAGGGCGAACATTTAATAGACAATCTATGCGATATTTTTGGTAATCCCAAAATTTTATGATCCCAAATAAACGAAAGGACAAAAAAATGTGAATTACCCACTTTTGTTAATTCCCGTAAACAGACTTATTTACCTGGTTCAGGTACCACAACCACTAACTGTTTACCAGATGGTGTTTCACTTACCAACCAGTTGTGTCCGAGTAGCGAAAGAATAAAGAACTGAATTTAGTCAGTTGTAAGGAATACAGTGTATTAAAATTATGCTGAAATTAACAAATAGAAGATTTTTGTCTTGCATGAAACTCTCAGCAGGATCTTTTTCAAATACTAATATAATTTGCCAAAGGTTGTTGCCTCGTCTATCTGCTATGCTTAAGAAAAGTATTTCACAAAATCATGGCGACTATAAACCTATTCCATAGAAAATCAAACTGATTTTAATCAAAGGGTAAGTATCTGGAAATTGTTATTATTAATATTATTATTATTATTATTATTATTATTATTATTATTATTATTACTGTTATTATTATTATTATTATTATTATTATTATTATTATTATTATTATTATTATTGTTATTATTACTATTATTTTATTTTTTGTTTTTTTTTTTTTTGTTTGAAATTGTTTAATTATGTGTTCTTTCCATTTCAGGTCATGAAAAGTGATCATCCCGTTGTTGTTGACTTCCATGCCAATTGGTGTGATCCCTGTACTAAATTAACACCCAAAATGTGTGCTTTGTTGGATAATTCAGAGAAATCGATTTGGCCATAATCGATGTGGAGAAGAATACCGAACTTGTGGATACTTTCAATATACAATCGGTACCGACTGTCTTCACTGTTCGTAATGGAGAAATTGTACACAAATTTATTGGGCTGGTTGAGGCAAATATTTGAAATCCATGGTTGATACATTGAAAAGTAAAAACACCTCGAACTCCTCGAAATGTGAAGATGTTCCTGAAGATACTTAATATTTTAAATTACTTTAAGTTTTTTTCTCTCAATTTTACCAGATTTACATTAGTTTTAGTATTAGTTAAAAACAAATAAAAAGAAAATTGCCTGTCTGCAAAAATCCGAGTATGTTTTGAGTTCCTTAACGAGGTCATAGCTTATGGGACCATAAGTTCTGGCAAAGATTTTCAATTTCCTTTTATATAAGTTCGTATTAATTCATACTTTCGACTCCGAGAAAACATAAATAGCAAACCCAACTTTGTGTCACACTGACTGACTTCGAGACTAACTGAGAATCAACGCCCAGGCAAACGACTAATACTAGAATCTTGAAGCTTTGCATGAGCTAAGTCTTGGTGCACTGGCGTGTAATTGAAAATTCGTAGAATAGTGTACGCAAAGTGCTGAAACGGAATAAGCTAGAATTTAGAAATTTGGAATGAGAGCCAATGATGGAGTGCCATATTGATGTACCAAAGGGTTTTTGGAAATTGGAACTTTAACATTACGAAAAGTTCTAAAATTGTACTAAACTTCTAAAATGGTAATATTGATATTATGTGAAAGGGTAGAGCTAAAAAATTGATATGTGAATCAAGATTGGGAAGTAAGTTTGATATATGAAGGTGGTTTTGGAAATGTGTACTAAGTATGTGAACTGTACTAAATTTAAAACAGCTTGGTTTATGGTGATCGGATGAAGTTGGAATTTTGAAATGTTATCCCTACTGGTGGTAAGTTTGTGATAAAGAAGTGGTTCTTAACATGGTTACTACAAGTGCACGAAAAGTTCTTAATACTACTATATTTGGTACAATTTGATATTGGGTAAATAGAATTTTGGCGTTAAGGTCGTATATAAAATTATGTATTGGATGAGGTAAAGGTCTCTGTTGATATTCAGATTACTGATGGTATCTGTCTTTAATATCTGGCGATGGTTTGGAAATGCGTCCTATATATGTGAATCCTAGACAGCATGGTTAACATTTCATGGTTTCAGCTCTATCCCAATACCAAATTTAGAACGTTCGGAAAAACAGCAGTACTTATTTCCAAACCCACCTCAGATACAATATTTATCTATATATCAAATTTTAGAATTTCATCGTTTCCTTTCACCAAAAAACCAACTTTGCTACTATTTAGTACTTTTCGTACAAATATGATATACAGGGTGAGATGAAAAAACTGCAACCAACTTCAGACTTCTGTCATTTCTAAGCCATTCGTCCGACAGCTGTTAAAATTATTTCAGCGACAGCTCATTATATTGTTTACAAGAGCACGAAAGCATTTTGGTGAGAATTTTCCTGAAAAAAAAGTTATTCGTGATGGAATTCAAGCATGATATTGTGATTTCCTTATATTTGGCTGAAAAACAACAACTGGCTATCATTAGATCACTCCAGCATTTAAAAGTGAATAAATCATTTGTGTCTCGTACCATCGCTCGTTACCGTGATACTGGTAGCGTAGCTCGACGTCAAGGAAGGGGACGGAAGAAAACAGCAACATCAGCAAAAATGGTTCGAAAAGTAAAGAAGCGACTTGATCGAAACCCGCGTCGCAGTGGCCGAAAAATGGCTCGTGAGCTTAACATATCGGAATATTCCATTCGGCAAATGTTGAAAAATAAACTCGGGGTAAAGCCATTGTGCAAGAACTTACACCGCAACAGGAAGAAAATAGACTCAAAAGAGCTAAAGAGTTGCTTCACTTGACCGAAAGTGGTGAACTGCCGAATTTCGTATTTACTTGCCAAAGAGGTCAGCTGAGGTGGCACCTTCGGTGGACCACCAGAACTTAAGCGCCGGAAATGATGATGGTGTGGGCCGCCATAACAGCCAATGGTCGGTATCCGCTCGTATAAATCGACCGTGGCATCAGAATAAATGCCGAATATTATCGCGAAAATATTCTGGAGGGTGTATTGAAGCCTTGGACACGCATATATTTTGGCCGCAGACCTTGGACATTCCAACAGGACTCAGCACGCGCCAACCAAGAGTGGTTAGAAAATGAGGTTCCTTGCTTGGCACTAAAAAATACCAAAGTATCGATCACCTCAAGCAAGCGCTTCGCCGGGAATGGGCCAAAATACCGCAGAGCAACATTCGGACAACATGTGACGGCTTCATTCGCCGTTTAAAGGACATAATTCGTGCCAAAGGTGACAAATTCGAACAAATCTAAACTTATTCTAAAACTTGATGTATTTCCAAAATTTTTTGCTTTCGTTCAATAAAATTAAAAAAAAATTTGTAAAAGTTATGGCGTTTGATTTTGTTGCAGTTTTTTATCTCACCCTGTATATAGTGATTATACCTTAACGTGAACCAATATTCCTTTTTCAATAACAAATATACTACAACTAATATCAATGCTTGTTCAAAATTTAATATTTTAGCCAATCTCCTTTTTACAGGACGACCCCCAATTTTGTAGCCGCTATGCTGGCGAACGTTATTGTTACCACACAATCTACTCGACATTATTTCGTTTGCTCTTTAATTTTATTGATTTTTCCATTTGTAAATATTATGTTTCGAAACTTTGTGTGTTTGTCAGATTTCTTTCTTGGGGATATTTTGATGGAATATTGAATTCGAATACAGGAAATCACCAAAACTGCAAAAGGAAAATATTTACAATTATTACTTCCAGTTCGTTAAACACCAATGTGTGATGTCGATTTGGAGCATTTATTGCGATGCATGTGAGGGGTGGGGTGATGTGGAAGATAAAATATTCAATAAAGATGTGGGATTGTCAAAATACTTTGAAGAAAATCGTTAAAAATGTAAACAGAAAATTTTTTGAATAAACAAAAATGTTGGAGGATTTTAATACAGGGGATCTTTTGTATTACTATATTGAAAGACTTATATTATTTTATAATAATTTGTATTAAGTTGTGCTACACACTTCTAAAACCAATTTTATTTCTCAATCCTATATACTCTAATCCCAAATTTCAAACAATGTCAGTATCATTTAGTACCTTTCCCTCGCTAGCTGAACGAATTTCCAAACCCAACTCTTTATGTTAACTCTTTCTAACAGATGTGACCCCAATTCCTATACAGGGTGCGATAAAAAACTGCAACAAAGTCAAACGCCATAATTTTAATTTTTTTTTTCTTTCTACATTTTATTGAATGAAAGCAAAAAATGTCGGAAATAGCATCAAATTTAAGAATAAGTTTAGATATATTCGAATTGGTCACCTTTGGCAAGAATTATGGCCGAAAAACGGCCAATGAAACCGTCACACACTGCCCGAATGTTGCTCTGTGGTATTTTGGCCCATTCCAGGCGAAGCGCTTGCTTGAGGTAATCGACACTTTGGAATTTTTTAGTGCCAACCTTGCTTTCCAAAATACTGCAGACACAATAGTCCAACGGATTGATAACCACAGATTTTGGTGGCCATTGTGCGCTGGAAATAAAGTGAGGAACCTCATTTTGTAACCATTCTTGTTCGATGGTGCTGAGTCCTGTTGGAATGTCAAAGGTCTGCGGCCTCCACACACCCTCCAGAATATTTTCGCGATAATATTCGGCATTTATTCTGATGCCACAGTCGATTAATAAGAGCGGAGAGCGACCATCGGCTGTTTTGGCCAGTGCTTGAGTTCTGGTGGCCAACCAAAGGTGCTCATTTTTAGCTGATCTCTTTGGCAAGTAAACACTATCATTTTGTTTGTTTACAAACTGCTGGACAACGAATGTTTTTTCATTGGAGAAGACCAAATTCGGCAGTTCACCACTTTCGGCCAAGCGCAGCAACTATCTAGCTCTTTTGAGTCTATTTTTTACCGAGCTCATTTTTCAATATTTGTCGAATGGAATATTGCGATATGTTCAGCTCACGAGCCATTTTTCGGCCACTGCGACGAGGGTTTTGACCAAGTCGCTTCTTAACTTTTCGAACCATTTCTGCTGATGTTGCTGTGTGCTTCCGTCCACTTCCTTGACGTCGGGCTACGCTACCAGTATCGCGGTAACGAGCGATGGTACGAGACACAAAAGATTTATTCACATTTAAATGCTGGAGTGCTCTAACGATAGCCAATTGTTGTTTTCCAGCCTAATATAAAGAAATCACACTATCACGCTTGAATTCCATCACGAATAAATTTTTTTCTTTTCTGTCACTGGAATAATTTTAACAGCTATCGGACGAGTGGCTTGGAAATGACAGAAGTCTAAAGTTGTTTGCAGTTTTCCCATCTCACTCTGTATAGATTAAACTAAGGGCATATAGCTCTTGGAAGAATTGACTGATACTTTCGGAATTGTCTCCACATAAAAGCAGGCCTTATTAAAAACAAGTAAAAAAGCTGTAAGTTAGGTCGGGCCGAACTTTGAATACCCTCCACCATATGGAACGAATTTGGCAATTCTGAAAAACAATAAAATCCGTTAAAAATTCTGTTAACATCTTAAAAATACCGAATGTAGCTGTTATTTTAGGGTCTATACGACGACATTGACATGCATAGGTAACATTTGTCATAAGCCATAACAATATTCAAATGCGAAACTTAAAAAAATCGGTGAATGATGTAGCTAAAATCATTAAAATACCGAATATCGGGAGGTACCGTTATATGGGGGCTATACGAAGACGTGGACCGGTACAGACAATTTTCTGTCATAGGCTGTAGTATCCATCATGAGCTTCAAATAACAAATTTGAAGGAATGTGAATAATATCGACAAATCATCAAAATACCGAATATCGGGAGGTACAGTTATATGGGTTCTATACGAAGACGTGTACCTACGTGACCCATTTTCAATACCAAAGAAAAAATAAAATTGTTATCAACTTTCTTTATTTCGTTCGGAAGCTAGAGTGATTTCTACAGACGGATAGACGGACGGACATTGCAAAATCGACATAGAATTTTATGCAGATCAAGAATATATACTTTGTGGGGTCTAAAATGTATATTTCGAGGTGTTACAAACGGAATGACAAACTTAATATACCCTCCATACTATGGTAGAGGGTATAAAATTAAAAAAAGCTAAAACCTCTTAGCTACCTCCTCACCAATTTTCAGCCACATCAGTAAAGGCATTCTTGATTTATAAATAGTGTAACTA